TGTACTTGTTAACTCTGCATGCAGATCACATTGGAACCTTTCTAAGGTGAAATGTCTGCTGCACAAGCTGTAATGATTCACTTGTATATCACATTACATTTGTAATTACAATGACTAGTGAGCAGGAAGGGCTGCTTCACGTCACAATTTTTAAAAACTCTTGTTCTCGACCATAGTGAGACCAGGAGTTAGCAACAACAGTGGAGACTTAGAGTTATTACATTTTTCTATACCATCAATCAATTTATTTTGTAACTGAAATTTAATAACCGGTCTGAGAAATTGGGACTGCAAGTCCCCTTTAACAGATCACCTCAAACATGATCAATGTGAACTCTGATGCTTCATGTTTGCCAGAAGATTTAAAATTCTAGGCTCTGTGGAACAAAGAGCACAATGCAAGTCACTTCTAATATAAGTATGTTGCTTTATGTTGATCATCAAAAGTGCAAAAAATCCAGCCACACACGGACAGGTGGACGAAAATGGGTTGAGGACGCATAGAGCTTACTGTGATCTGATCAGACTTTATCTAATCAAAACTTAAGTGCTAACTTAAGTTTTGATTACAAACATTTGCATATATGTTAGTGACTAAAACATTGAATCGGGAAATTCAATCTGAAGACAAGTCTCATGGTTCTACTTATAAATTGCTGCAAAAAAACATTGCCTTATGAAGTCGGAAAAATGTAGTGTGCACTTCGAATGAGCTGTATATAAAAAAAATCCCACGGCCCCCTTTGAATCCTTATGTGCTCCCCTATAATCTAGCACTGCCAGTCTGGCACTGCTACAGTATAATCTGGAACAGTAAGAAAGAGACCAGCAGGCTTGTGTCCTGCAGAGCTGCACAGCTTGAAATTACTTGCCCTGTTCCCCACTGTGAGAAAGAGCCCATCTACCCCTGCCAGACTGATGTGAATTGCTGTCCTGACTGAGGCTGTGCTGCTTTAGCATATCTACAACATCTGCCATGGGACGTGTGTGACATGTGATGCTTATGATCAGATACTATATGCTACTACGTTTCACTTAAATAATGGCTGGCCTTTGTGTTTTACCTCTGGAGCCAAAAAAGCTGTGTTGTCAAACTAACTCTCAATCCACTGAAATGTAGATCAATATACAGTCATACAGCAGTCATGTTCAAGGATAAACACAGCAAGCAGATTCTGCACACACAAAGGCCTTTCATTTTCTGCTTTGGACAGGTAATTGATCTAATGTGGGCTGTGCAATAATGCCACAACATTGGATCTGCAATTTCCCTCACGGGATCAATAAAGTATCTATCTATCAAACACCTCCAATCTGAGCTACACGCATGTTCTTTCTTTTCAGGGGAAGCAGAGGTGCTCAGGGCAGCCCTATATGGTCTGCACTCTGTATAGGCTGGGATTGTGCTTTGTCCTGTATGCACTACAGCTGTAACTCAAACACAACTCCTTAATTAAAACAAGAGCTTATCTGTTGGCAAGCAGACACTAAGACTACAGACATTGAAAACCCATGAATTGGTCACGGAAAAAAAATGGTGCACCTCCTAGAAACTTTAAATTCTACAGACGAGGCAGGAATGTTTTTAATGACTTAAAAGAAATACACAACAAAAAAGGGACAGTTTAGCAATGTATGGTAAACAGGTTCCTAAAAGGGTCAAGCTCATCCAGATTCAACAGGAGGGTTGTGGACTCAGACAGTGAGCTGTCTGGAGAATGAAGTGAGCCTCTGTCTTGGCTGCCTAGCAACAGGACTGTCCTGAAAGTCCCACAGAAGGCCGCTGAAAAGACAGGAACGCATACACTCCACCTGAAGTACGCTCTCAAGGTGAAGTGGCCAGCATGCTGTGAAGCAGACCACACACAGAGAGAGTCAGACTGGACTGGATAGAAAGAGACCTTAAGGAACATGAAAGGGATGAGACTGCAGTAGAATCTCTTGCTCATCTGGAAAAAGCAGATGGCTTAAGGCTATTTTTGAGGCTGAAATGGAAAGCACAGGTTGCATTTCTTCATAATATTCCGTTTATTAGAAGGGAATTTTGTTCTTAAGAACATTTAACAGCATTTGTACTAACACTTTTTAGGCAGTATTTTACCCATCTTTCACTCAGTCTTCCATGGTATTAACATGCTTCTGTGACATTGAGGCTCTTTCCATGTCTGGACTCAACCACTGTCTATCAGGTGCCACTCAGGTCCGAACCTCACAGTAGGCTTACAAACGAGAGGAGGCCAGTTGGCCCATCCAGCCCATTTGGTAGTTAATAGTTAATCAAGGTGATGACCTCATCTAGCTGTTTCTTGAAAGAAACCAATGTATCGAATTCAACAATATGGCTGGGCAGCTTGTTCCACATATCCACAACCCTGTGTGTAAAGAAGTGCCTCCTGCCTTGGGTTTTTAATGCTATTCCATATAGTCACCACTTGTGTCCTCTGGTTCATGTTTCACTGTTCATTAAGTCCTCTTCATTGACTTTGTCTTCAAATGCCTTTTAGGGTTTTTAATACTTGTATGATCCCCTGGGATTACTTCAACAAGCTTGTTGAATACACCCTGTTACTCTGTGATTACTTTAGTGCACTTTACTGCAATAGACCGCAATGCTTAGATTAATCACAGGAAAGTTCACAAGCATAGTACCGCACAACCTAAGAATTAAGGACTATGTAAACCACAGAATGCAGTAAAGTGCTATATTCTATAACCCCTTTAATTAGAGAATTAAAGGATTAACATCATGCCCTGTTAGCTGGATCATCAAAGAAATTACTTCAGAAACTACAGTATATCCAGAACTGCGCTACTGAAGTGCTGACTAAGTCTAAAACGTCTGAACATTTTTGTCCTGAGCTGAAACACCTGCAGTGTTTCACCTCAAGACTTACTTGTTCTTCAATACCGAACTTAATTATTTATTTTCATTTCAAAATTTGTACTTTTTTGTCTTTAATTTTCTTTTTTGCTTACTGTACATTTTAAACTGCCTTGAGAGTGCTCCGCAAGGTACCATATAAGATATAAACAGATTGATGTGATTGCGACGGCAGTGCAATGATGATGGCAATGGTACCAAAGCACAGTGCCAGTACTGGCCCCTCCCCACACCCCATACCCATGACACCCCATAGACACACCCAGGCTCTCACCTTGCACACCCGTGCCACTC